CACATCTTGACGCGGGACACAGGGTATTACTTAGGGAAGTCTGGGTTTAAGCAGTAAGAGCAAAGCAAGCCAACTACTTGCCTCCTTCCCACGCTCTTTTTCTTCAAGCTGAGTCCTGGGCAAGGTCCAGGTGACCGTGCAGGGGTGACTGAATGACAGGGCACATTCAGGTCAGACGCCTGCCCAGCAGGGCGGTCATCGGGAATCAGTGAGGGGCCGAGAGCCCCCGCTGCTTGCAGTTCTCCCAGCTTCAGCCCCCGCCCCGCCCCTGCGGTCCCCACAGAGCACAGGGAAACCCAGAGACCTGCCTTCGTCACTTCTAGTGCAGAGCTTCTAGTCAGTGCTGTACCAGGTGAGGACGTTAAGAACAACAGAACGAGGGAGGAAGAAATGAAAGGGTCCCCATGTGCCGGTGACCCTGACTGTCTGTGTAGAAAGTCCCAAGGGATCTACAGAGATTCCAGGAAGACTTAGTGCTGGGTCACAGGATGCGAGATAAACATACAGAACCGACAAGGTCGCCATGCACTAGCAACGAGCATGGGAACGCCAGTCAGAAGTACAAGTTTGCTCTGGTTTGGGCTGGTTTGGGTTGCTCCTAACGCCTATGTTGGAACTTAAATACCATGGTCATGGCTGTAGGAGGTGGGGCCTTTGGGGCCAGCACTGTGGTGCAGTGGGTTAAAGCCCTGGCCTACAGTGCCGACATCCCATATGGGCGCCGGTTCGAGTCCTGGTTGCTCCACTTTCAATCCAGCTCTCTGCTATTGCCTGGGAAAGAGGTGCAAGATGGCCCAAGTCCTTGGGTCCCTGCACCCATGTGGAAGACCCCAAAGAAGCTCCTGGCTTTTGGCTTCAGATCGGTGCAGCTCTGGCCATTGCGGCCACCTGGGGAGTGAACCAGCGGATGGAAGACCTCTCTCTCTGTCTCTACCTCTCTCTGTAACTCTGTCTTTCAAATAAATAAAATAACTCATTAAAAAAAAAAAAAAGAAGTGGAGCCTTTGGAAGGTGATTAGGTCATTCAAGGGATTAATGTCCTTATAAAAGGTTTCACTCTCTCGCCCTTCCATTCCACATCATTATATAAATATATTATATATTATATGTAATGTATAGTTATGCATGTAACTATATCTAATATGTAGGTATATATGTAACTTAAATAATTGCTAAATAGATGTACTTGGGTATAAATATATATAATATATTAATACATAATGTTAGTATAATATATTGTTATGTATGTGACTATACATAATATATAGGTGTGTATGTAGCTTAAATAATCGCTAAATAAGTAGAAGTACTTGGGTATAAATTTAACAAAACGTGTCTAGATCCTACATGTTGAAAGCACAACATTGATAAAAAGAAAAAGCAAGAAATTCTAAATAAATGGAGACACATACTGTGTTCACGTATTAGAAGACTCGACACAGTTAAGATGCAATTTCTCTCCAATCTGACACATAAATTTAACATAGTTCCACCCCAGCAGGGGTTTTTGTAGATATAGACAATATTCTTACTCGCCCATGAAAGTCAAAACAACCAGAATAGCTAAAATTTTTGAAACAGAAGAATGGAGAGGGGAGAATCTGCCTGCCCCGCTTCAAGACTTACTGCGTGGCTACAACAGTCAAGACTGCGAAGACGCAGGGTCAGCCGAAGGACACACACGCAGATCAAGGGAGCAGAGCAAAGAGCCAGAAAGAGACCAGCGCAAACGCCTAACTGATTTGTTAAAGATTTATTTATTTATTTATTTGAGAGGCAGAGTTACAGACAGACAGAGGGAGAGACAGAGAGAGAGGTATCTTCCATGTGCTGGTTCACTCCCCAAATGGCTGCAATGGCCAGAGCTCAGCCAATCCAAAGCCAGCAGCCAGGAGCCAGCAGCCAGGAGCCAGGAGCTTCTTCGAGGTCTCCCATGTGGGTGCAGGGGTCCAAGGACTTAGACCATCTTCCACTGCTTTCCCAGGCCATTAGCAGAGAGCTGGATAAGAAGTGGAGGCCCCGGCCGGCGCCGTGGCTCACTAGGCTAATCCTCTGCCTTGAGGCGCCGGCACACCGGGTTCTAGTCCCGCTCGGGGCACCGGATTCTGTCCCGGTTGCCCCTCTTCCAGGCCAGCTCTCTGCTGTGGCCAGGGAGTGCAGTGGAGGATGGCCCAAGTGCTTGGGCCCTGCACCCCATGGGAGACCAGGAGAAGTACCTGGCTCCTGCCATCGGATCAGCGCGGTGCACTGGCCGCAGCGCACGGGCCGCGGCGGCCATTGGAGGGTGAACCAACGGCAAAGGAAGACCTTTCTCTCTGTCTCTCTCTCTCACTGTCCACTCTGCCTTTCAAAAAAAAAAAAAAGATTAAAAAAAAAAAAAGAAGTGGAGGCCCCGGGACCCGAACTGGCGTCCACATGGGATGCCAACACTGCAGGCTGAACCTATTACGGCCCAGAGCCGGCCCCCTAATTGATTTTTGACATAGATGTAAAAGCAACTCAGCGCAGGAAAGATACAAGACTTTCCAAGAACTGGTGCCACAGCAGGTGGGTAATCTCAGGCAAAATTGGAACCTCTGCTGAATCTTACATCTTATGTAAAACTTAACTCGAAATGCAGAACATAAAGCCATAAATCTTTTAGAAGTATAAAGGAGAAAATCTTCAGGATCTCAAGCTAGGCTAAGAGTTCTGACACTTGACAGCACAAAATACAGTCCCTAGGAATCAAATGGATAGACTGGACTCACGAAGACGTAGAGGGATGGCTTTGTACATGATCCTCTGAAGGGTTGGAAAGACAAGCCATGGACTGCGAGAAAACATTTGCCCACCACTCTGTGTTGGAGGAATTGTTTCTAATCTATAAAAAGAACTCTGAAAACTCAAGGGTACAAACAAATAATCTAATTAGAAAAGTGTGAAAAACTTGACTCCATATTTTACTAAAAAGGATGCACAGATGGCAAACGGGCACTTGGAGAGCTGCCTGCCATCATTAGCCATTAGGAAAAAGCCAAGTAAACCCACAGTGAGCCATTCCTACACGGCTCTCCAAGTGGCTACATCACCACATCATCACCCACCCGGCCTGTGTCAGCCAGGGCTCTCCAGGGAAACAGAAGCAGCAGGAAATACACAGATATATAAGAGCAGATTTCACTGTTAGGATTTTATTTATTGAGAGGAAGAGAGAAAAGCAGGGAGACAGTTGGACAGAGATCTTCCCTCTACTGGTTCACTCTGTAAATGCCCCTGACAGCAGGCCTGGGACCCACACCCGTGCCCCTCACATGGGTGCGGGAACCCAAACACTTGAGCCGTTATCTGCTGCCTCCCAGGATGCACAGTATAAGGAAGCTGGAATGGGAAGTGGAGCTGAGATGCAAACCCAGGGGCTCTGAGGTGTGGGAGTCCAAGTGTTGTTTGAACTTCTAGGGGGGCCGGCACCGTGGCTCACTTGGTTAATCCTCCGTCTGTGGCGCCGGCATCCCCTATGGGCGCCGGGTTCTAGTCCTGGTTGCTCTTCTTCCAGTCCAGCTCTCTGCTGTGGCCTGGGAAGGCAGTGGAGGATGGCCCAAGTCCTTGGGCCCCTGCACCTGCATGGGAGACCAGGAAGAAGCTCCTGGCTCCTGGCTTCAGATCGGCGTGGCGCCGGCCATGGTGGCCATTTGGGGAGTGAACCAATGGAAGGAAGATCTTTCTCTCTGTCTCTCTCTCTCACTGTCTATAACTCCACCTGTCAAATAAATAAATCAAAAGCAAAACAAAACGAAACTGCTAGGCCAGCTGCCCACTCCGGAGAGGAGGTTTGCTGGAGAGAACTGGCTCTGGTCGTTTGTGGGGACTGCGACATTCCACTGTCTGCCGTCTGCATGCCAGGGGCTTAGTGATGTCACCCACCACAGACTGAGCACCAGGGAGCCCAGGGTGAGGCTCCTAGTCCGGGAGCAGAAGATGAAGAGGTGAGATGAGATGTCCCAGTCCAAGCAGCCAGGCAGGCTGAAAGGTGAGTTCCTTCTTCCTCCTGCCCTGGGCCTGGATTAGAAGATGCCTGCCCACGGGGAGCAGCTCACTACTGTGTCCACTGCCGACTCCATCCAGAAACACGTTCGTGGCTGGGCCTGGAAGTAATGTTTACCCCCATCACCCACGGGCAGCCAAGTTGACCCCAAAATTAACCATCACGCTGCAAGTGCTGAGGAGGCTGGGTAGGCGTCTCTTACTCACTGCTGGTGGGATGCGAGCCGGTGCAAAACGGTTTCTTTAAAGGCAAAAACTGCAGCCACCGTATGCTCAGGCAGCCGGAGTTCTGGCCACTGCTCACAGAGAAATGAAGACTGGTTCACGCAAAAACTCGTACATGAGCCCAACGACCCGGAAGAACTTCCGAAGGGCTGTGCTGGGGGACAAATGTTGATCCCTGTGGGAATGTCACCCTGGCCCCTGGGAGCACGGGTGGGTCTCCGCAGTGAGGCTCCTGGACACAACTTCCCATCCGGGACACACCCAGCGGCTGAGCGGTTCTACCACTTCCCGCAGCGGGGTGGCCTGAACGCTCACCGGGGGTGACCGGGTGGTTAACGTCGCAGCATCGTGCCAGCTGCACCATCCACAGCTGGCGCTCTCGCTGACCTAGGGCATCGCTGTCACCTCCTTTACAGATGAGGACACGGAGGCTCAGTGCAGTCACACCTTGCTCTGTCCAGTGCTGGGGCCAGCAGCACGGCGGGAAAGCCAGGGGCCCCGTGCCTGCCAGATGCTAGGTGTCCGGTCGACGCCCGCCAGCTGCAAGGCAGCACCGCCCCCAGCCTAGGCCCCGGGGCCCCGGGCTGGGCTCCCAGAGCTCTGGACTCGAGTTCCAGGCCCGTGTTTGCGCCAACGAGCTGCGCGACGCCAAGCCTCAGTTTCCCCACGCGGCCCACCCGGGCAGCGCGCGAGGGTTCTGCGGGCCCCACCCCGGGGTGGGGCTGGGGCTGGTCACGTGCAGGGGCGCGGGTCCCTCGAGCCCCGCCCCGCCCTCGGGGTCCCAGCGCACTCGCTGTCTGGAGCGCGGAGCGCGGAGCGCGGTGCAGGCTCGGGACGCGAAGCCACACTGGGGCTGCGAGGTGTGCGCCGCCGCCGCGGGGTCCGGGGGCGCCTGCTCGCGGCTCCGCCCGCTCCCCCAGCAGCAGCAGGAGCAACAGCAGCGAGGAACCGCGGCGGCAGCGACACCATGGACCTGTCCTTTATGGCCGCGCAGGTAACGGGCGCCTTTCCCCCCCACCGCGAGCCTCGGCGGGGCGCGGCGGGAGGGGCTGGGGCTGGGGCCGCGGCGCCTCGCCGGGATCCGCTTTGTCCCGAGCCAGGCACCCCGACTTGGTGCGCGGCCCGGGCTGGGGCGGGCGAGGCGCCCTGCTAGTCCACGTACCGAGCTGCTCCACCCAGGCCCTGCTGGCTAGGGGGAGGCTGAGAGGACCCCGGGCAGCATTCCCTACCCATCCCCCACCGGCTGCCCCCTACGCGAACCTGGGTGTGGACGGACTCGCTTCTCCCACTCCTTGTTTTCGCGAGCCTCGCTCCTCTCCGCCTCGCAGCGGAGACCGACCCTTTGTGCCCGGCCATGCTGGCCTCCTCCGTATTTGCTTTGTGCTGAGTCCGTGTAGCCATGAGTACCTTCTTCCCCGCCCACCGCACAAAGCAGGCTCCCAAGAGACCTCTCGCCACCTGATTGTGCCCCCCTCGAGTTCTGAGTTCGGGGATCCCTGTCTTTGTGCCTTAACTCTCCTGAGCTGGAACAAAGGGAAACACCGCCTTTTTCCAGCCCAACGTGGCCCCTGGGAACGCCAGGGGCTGACTGCTGCATCTGGCTCCAGAAGGAGCCACATGGGGTCTGGGGGAGGAAGCCTTGGTCCACCCGATCAGACTTTGGGTTCTGGGGGCCTGTGGGCTGGCTGTGCTGGGAGCAGAGGGCCAGAGAGGGCCAGGGAAGGCCCAGGCTCCCTCGTGTGCCCTGGGCAGGAGCGGGGACCCCACCTGCTGCAGAGAATGAAGTCCAGGGGACACTCTCTTGGTCCCCAGGCGTCACCTGCAGTGGAAGCCTCTAAGTGCATTTATCATTTCTTTATGGTGAAAATGCGCAGAGTCCTTTCTTCTAGGTTTCTAACAAGCTTTGTGTAATACTTTGTCATCACCCACGGACACCCTACTACGCTACAGCACCCTTGAACTTCTCTCCCCTCTAACTATGGCTTAGCACCCACTAATCAGACAGAAATGGTAAATGTTGGAGGAGATACATGTGTTTACCCGATTTGGATATCACACAATGGATACCCGGATGGAAACATCGCACACTGCTCCATAAATATATACAGTTTTCATGTGTCACTTTAAAATAACCAAAAAAAAAAAAAAAAAAAAAGAGCAGCAGAATCCACACTGTATGTGCACAGGAAGTCTCTGCGCTGGCTCTGGAACCCAGGGAACTGCTGCCATTTCCATGGTTACAAAATAAATTGATCATTGCTATCCCTGGGCTGGCTAGAGCATCTCAGTTGCTATGGTAACACGAGGCTTTGCTCAACACCTGCAGGCGGAACCAGCACAGAGACCGGCTTCTTTCTGTTCTCGTTTGTTTACAATTCAAATGTCACTCGGTCAGTTTATTGCTGCTGGCAGATGCTTAGCGCCTGTTAAACGCTTGGTATTCTGCTGGTGCAAGAAACAGAAGCATGAAGTGCACACAGATGCAGGAGACATTAAGGTTTGGTGAGCGCCTACTGTGTGCCCGGTGCCAGGCACTCAGCACCCTTTATTCCAGTAACTCTTTACAAGTCTCTGACCCAGAGCCTGTCGCCCCCACTTCACATCAGCCAGATGAGAGGATTTGCCTCAGCGTGCCATTAGTAAGGAGGACAGCTGGACTTCAGAGCCGAGCCACTGGGGTCTCCACCTCTCTGTGTCACCCCAAGAAAGACACAGAACAGGAAGGGGCTGGACAGATTCCAGGGTGACACAGCTCTTCCCCCGCCACGTGGAAAGTGGAAAGTGGTCTCTGAAGCTCCTAGTGGGCGTACCCCTGTGGGTCGCTCTCCGGCGTTGGTCTGTCCCGTCTACCCTCGGGTGGGGGCAGTGTGTGGCCAGAGCCCCGGGCGTGGTGTCAGGCGCTGTCCCCGCAGGCACTCCTTCTCTGCGCAAAGGGCAGCTTGCAGAGAAGGTTAGTGCAGCCCGTCCACGTGTCCAGCAAACGCTGATGGGCTGCCCTGCAGCAGGCACCGGGAAGGGGATCCGGGAGACCGAGGTGCGGGGGCGTGGCTCTCCTCTCTGGGTGATTCCAGAGTGCCGGAGAAGTGCTGGGTCCGGCCAAGGCGCAGCAGCGAATGGGCCAGATGTGGGGCCAAGCTGGGGGCCTGGCACGTAGTAGGTCTTCAGAAAAGCATTTCTTAGAAGAATGGGTGGGATCAAGGCCAGGTGGATGCTAATAATAGTAATCATGTTAAACAGACAGTAAAGGGAAAGACAGTGTGAGATATGCAGTGCCTCGCAGGTTGGGCATTCATCTTCGGCTCTGCGGCTGACTCCAGCTTCCTGTCAGTGCAGATCCTGCAAGGCAGAGGTGACAGCTCAAGTAATTGGGTGCCTGCCACCCACCGGGGAGACCTGGATTGTGTTGCTGGCTCCCAGCTTCAGCCTCCCAACGGGAGCCATTGCAGGCGTTTGGGGAATGAGCCAGCAGGTGGGAGCACTCTGTCTTTGTATCTATCTCCCACTCTGTCTTTTTGCCTGCCAAATAAATAAATAAATAAGCAAACACACCTGCTGCAGGTGGGAACCTGTGCTGGGCAGGTGTGCCTTTACCGTCCCCATCGGAGTCAGGGGAGAAGTGGGGAGCCAGGGTGGCTCAGCTGCCAGCCAGGACCAGGATGGAGCGGACGGGCATACGCCTCCTTCCGTGGTCCATGCTCGACTGCGAGGGCAGTCCAGGAACCTGGGCACCAGAGGCCCTCTGCAGGCCGGCTGAAGCTCATCCATCCACCGATTTTGCAGAATATTGTGCTCATGTGCATTCTGAAACAAAATCTTAAAGAGGTTCCCATTCATTCCTTTGGGTGACAAATGACCCCTTAAAACAACAGAGATGTATTCTTCCCAAGTCCTGGAGGCCAGGAGCCCACCCTCAGGCCTCTCTGAAGGCACTGGGAGACGATCCTCCCAGGCCTGTCTCTCTGAGGTCCTGGTGATGCCTGCAGTCCTGGAGCTCCTGGGCCCGTGGATGCCACACTCAGCCTCTGCCTCTGTCGTCACGTGGCATTCTGCCTGTGCGGTGGCTCCAATTCTTTTTTAATATTTTATTTATTTGAAAGGTGGAATTACAAAGAGGCAGAGAGAGAGAGAGGGAGAGGGAGGGAGAGAGAGAGAGAGAGAGGAAGGGAGGGAGAGAGAGGGAGGGAGAGAGAGGTCTTCCATCCGCTGGTTCACTCCCCAGATGGCCACGATTGCTGAAGCTGCGTCAATCCAAAGCCAGGAGCCGGGAGCTTCCTCCAGGTCTCCCACACAGGTGCAGGGGCCCAAGCTCTAGGACCATCTTCCACTGCTTCCCCAGGCCATAGCAGAGATGCTGGATCAGAAGTGGAGCAGCCAGGACTTGAACCGGCGTCCATATGGGATGCCAGCACTGCAGGCGGCAGCTTTACCCACTACGCCAGAGCACCGGCCCTGCAACTCCTCTTCTTATAAGGACACCTGTCACAGTGGCCCAGGACCAACCCTCATGCTACATCTCGGTGGCAACTGCAGAGATTCCGTTTCCAAATAAGGTCACGTGCAAAGGGACGGGGGTTAGAATTCAACATATCTTTGGCAAGGGACACGACTCTACCCATTTGGGGGTCTGATGACTCATAAAAGATAAAGATCTTGGCTGTTGGGTTAGTGACCATTGTTCATAGAGAGGCAGTGAACAGTCCACTTCTCTTGATCTTAGTTTCACCATCTGTGAAATGGGCACAAAACTGCCTTCCTTAGGGAACTGTTCATTTAGTCATTCAGCAAATGCTTCCTGTGTGTTGGGCCCTTCCTACATGAAATGCTGGGTGACGAGGTGGGACAGAGGCGCTGTGCTGTGACACATGACAGGAGGAAGGTAAACACAGGTGCTCTGGGGGCCCGGGAGAGCTGCTGACCCCACTCAGGAGGTCGGAGAAGGCTTCTGGAGGTGGGGCTCGAGCTGAATTTGAAGGCTGCATTGCTGTTATGCAGATGTAGGAGTGAGGGCATTCCAGGCAAAGTGGAGGCACGGAGCTTGCAGGAGCTGTGGGAGGTGGGAGGTGCAGGTGCTGTGTGGTTGGAGCAGAGGGGGCAGGTGACGAGGGAGGAGGAGACAAGGCCAGGGAGCTGGGCTGGGGTGGGGTGGGCAGAGACCCCGTGGAATGGAGTAGAGTAGGGTGGGAGGCTGTGTTGGCCTGGAATGCGGGGCCTGGTTGGAGGGGGCACTGGGAGCTGTCCCCGAGCTCCAGCCCCTTGCCCGTGCACACACACACAGGCCCGGGGCTGCAGGTGCCTCTGGCTTTTAAAGAAACCTGAACCCCTGTGTTCACGTGCAGCCTGGGTTTTGCAGCGCTGGCCAAAGCTAATTAGAACAGAGCTCCGACCACAGTGAGTCCCTCGCGTTGAGTTCCTTGCTGCTTGTCGTTTCTGTTACTTAGTGGCTCACGGCCATCGAGATTCCGCTCACGGTTCTATGGGGCCAGAATCCGGGAAGGACTCGGCTCAACGGTTTGATTCTGCAGCGGTGGCGCCAGCAGGGTCAGCTGGAGACGCTGGCGCCCAGACGTGCAGAACACAGCTTCTGGGCGCGTGTCTGGTGCCCCCAGGCCACTCGGCCCCCGGCTGCCATCGCGAAGCAGTTTCTTCCAGTGGCGTGGGCTTCCTCCCAGCTCGGAGGTCTCAGGGTCTCTGTTCCTTGCACAGCACCGGCTTCCTCGACAGCGACCGTCCCAGCAACTACAAGTCACAAAGATACAGGCTTCCTAGGACCCAGCCTGGGAGCCCTGGGCGTCCCCCAGTGTTCTCTTGGCCTAAGGGCAGCCCAGGTTAGGGGGAGGGGACTCGGACTGCAGCTGTCGATGGGGGAGCTGGGGGCACAGGTGTCTGGAGGGGAGGGAGGACTGGACAGGGCCGTCTTTGGAGACTGGGACCACATGGGCCAAACAGAACAGGGGTGCCGGCTGGATTCATCCTGGGGCTGCCAGTGGCTTTCTC